TCTGCCTACTAATATGTAGTTAGTAGCACGTTATATGCTCTACGAAACATTGCCGTCATGCAGAGGGGCCGGCACTACCATCGTTCTTGTCATCCTGAGAATTGGCATGTCCTTACTGTCGGTGTAGTCTGCTAGGCAGTTCCGGAATTTGCTGTCGAAGGAAGCAATAAGCCACTAACCAATTTCTAATTAACATTGCTTAATCCTCCTGGTCGTGTTTTTTGCACCAGTAAATCTATACGTAGCAAGAATTATTAACGGCAAAAACTAGGGAGACTGTAGTGGATATTCCTAGTTTATTTGCCGTCACCAACCGGTCATTCCACAAAACAGGTCGACAACAAGAGATATGAATTGGGCGCATCCGGTCATTGTGTTACTGGTCCCGCTTAAGCAGGCATGTGACTTTGGTGTCATTGGCAATTCGTGGGGATAGCAACCGTTTTTTACCCTTGAGATAAGGTAGTCCAAACTAATTACCAGCGCAACCGATTTGACAGCAATCCGAAGGGTTAGCATCCTCACTCCGACAGCGACTGTCAGCTTGTGTTATAAATTCATTTGTTTCTCTTAGCCCGCCTCCTGGCGTATTCCTCTTGATTTGGTATATTAATGCGACGTGGTTTTTATCCATGGAGTATGGATGCGCCATTTTGCTTTTGAGTCCGAATCTTCCCGGCCCAAGGGGCCTGAACTGGTCCTCCTTTCCCCAGGTCTCATTAATGCCCCTCAGGTAGTGATGACTTCTCGCGTTTGTTCAACCGTAAGTACTCTAGACCGAGGTTCAAAGGCAAGTTAGAATGTTCGCATTTCGTTTCTCCTTCATGCCACTGCCCTGGGATTAAGGAGTACTCCATGCATTGGGTCTGCCAAACCATTGCATACAAAGAGGCATACCTTTAGCGTTGCGTTTAGCCCCATTAGCGCTGTTATTACGATGGCATTAATACTATCCATCTTGGCAGCAAACCTTTTCTACCCCTCTAGGGAGCGAGAAGAGATGAAAAAGAGGGAGAAAGCCTGGTTAACTCTCAACGAGACAGCCAAGCGGAATCCCCTCTACCACTTGGTTGTAGCCGGTGAGGGTGGCATCAATCCCTCCTCCTCCTCGTCCGCCAATGGGGACAACGGACCCCTGCTCGAGGTTGCCCCCGCTCCGGCAGCCTCCTCTCTCCCCTCGACTGATCAACAGTGCAAGACTCGAACGGCACCTCCTGGTAAAGCTTCTGCCTGCGTCGAGCCTACCTCCGCTGCTGTGGATGATCCATTTTACAGTAACGGTGATGCCACTGCTGATGTCGATGATGATGTTAACGCGTCCCTTCGTTCACTCCGACAGGAGAGCGAGGAAGAGGTATTCATCCATCTTATTTGCCCGCATCTAGCATATATACGATGTGTGTACAGGGCGTCTGGTGCATGTCTGCGGGAACCAGGTCGTGTGTGACGCTATTGACCTTTGCCAGCCATTTCGTCCAACCCCGCCCCTGGTCGTCCAGGTGGCAAGGCTGCGGCCACTTGGATGACTCGACAATCGCAGTTACGTTTGTGTTATTTGTGAGAATCAAAATGATCCTGTAGGCGTTAACGGCGGGATTAAGCGGACGATCAGTGGCAGAAGTCGTTTAACAAGTAGCCACCACTCCCAAATTCTATTAGCTAGCGAAACTGTGTATATGGCCTTTGCTTCCCTTTTTCCTTCCTCATCACGTTGAAATTGCCACTTCATTTATTTCAGTCTGTCATTTTGTTCGTTGGAATAGCTATGTCTCCTGTGGACTGCCAAATGTTCAGACGGTAGCACCGGTTAAGGGATTTTTGCGCCAAAACAGCGCCCTTTTGCTGTCTATGCAGGTGCTATCTCGGCTGATCTGTTTGAGCGGTTTTGGCTGTCCGTGTAGGTACTAGCCTGGGCAGCAATGTCGTCTCTCTATTCCAAGCTAACGTTACCTTCTCAGAGACCGACTTAAAGGTCACCTGGAGTTGTAGAGCGCTGGCAAATATAGTGTCTTCCGTCGGACATAATGAATTCATTACAGGCTCCTGTATTTGCTGGTCCGTTGTGGTACTTTGTTGTACATAGACAGGCTTAGTTTTGTAAGGGGGAGGGAAGGGGGGTTGAAAAGCATTTGACCATTTACCGTCACGCGCTTTCCTTTATACACTTTCTAACACGATTTTTTACTCGTATACTATATGCAATGTCATCTTCCTTACATTAGGTGCGAAAGCTCGGTGGGGAAGGTCAAGACACTACCGCCCTGCCTTTCCTAGTTCGCAAGAAGGAGAAAGTGCCGATGCGCCGAAAATCCGATCTTCCCCACGATCAGCTGACAATTCGTGCGCTAGAACAGCACCGGAGACCGGATGATTACCTCTCCACCCAAGTCGATCAATAGCGCTGGGCTTGCTACCCATCATCCTGCTCCGCTCTGGCCCACCCCAGGCCTACACACACACACGCCTTCTGTGCATGGCCAGACAAGATGCAGACTCTTGTCAAGCACCCTCTTTTTATTGTGCGTTCTAGTTGATTTATCACTGCGTTTACGCCGCGAGCCTTCGATGTCTGGTTCTGGTTGTCTCCGCCCATCAGCTTGTCTTTATGTCTGTCTGTCTGTGTGTTTGTGCTTGTTTGTTCGCCACCCGCCGGAACCGATCCCGCGCACGCGTGTAGAATGAGGAGGAGGAGGAGAAGAAATACCCCTCTTTCCCCTCCTGCTCTCTCGAACTGCTCGTCCCCGAATCTAACCCCGCCTCCCAATCCCAGGTCTCTACAAGCCTCAATGCCAACGTTTTATTCGCCCCCTATTGCCCGACTACACTCTCTCCCTCTCTGCCCAAATCCCTCTAGTCATTCTCTTATGTGGATTCCCCAAAATATTTTTACGTTTGTTCCACGTTTAAAGCGAGGGTATTTTTTCATCACACCGGGCGACGGGTTGCGTTGTTGTCCCCGTTGTGGATTGGGAACGCGCGGGTCTGGAGAGTTGTTGTTAGCCATTATGCGTCGATGGGTGAATGATATAGTGGTAAGGCGGAGTCTGGAAACAAGCTCCTTATTCTGCTAGCCTGCATAACATGACTTAAAACCCCCTAAAACGCACCTTTTTGTATTGAACTCCAAAGGGTTCTAGGTCATTTCGGCCTCTGGCGTGCTGTTCGTGGGTTGGCTGTTTCCTACGCGAGGACCCCCTCGTGGGGAAAATCTCGAACGTTCCACCGGTCATTCATGGACCGCATGCGTGAGCAAAGGCATTATGTGTGCCCGATCGCTGATTAGCTAGTTGCCTTCGTTGGTGCATTTTGTAGCGGTCTCAGTCTGCTGTGCCCTGCGTGGTCACGTTTGCCTTTCGCTCTAGATCGTGACTCCATTCCGTCACCGTCCTCCATTGTGTCATAAAACACATAAAAGGAATATGTATATTCTGCGTGGCATAAGTGCCATTTACGAGACACCTCAAGCTGTCACTTAAAGTGCATGACGTCTCAGCTGCACTGGAAACAGACCGAACTTCGGTTCTGTCACAGCAGCGCTCGAGGCTGTTGAAAACAAGGATGGTCTGTAACCTATACATGATTATTGCCCATATAGCCGAGTGAGGTGGGATTCTATCCTCACTGTCTCGCAGCCCATGTTCCTCTTTAAAAATTTCCCGCGGTTAGTTCGACAGGCCCGCGAAACTGTGTTGTGCGACTGCCCCGATCTGCCGTAAC